AACATACTGTAACGGCCGGGGTCTGTGCCTGGGGAGATTAAATTTCGGGAGGGACAATTATCCCATCATGTATGAAAAAGTATTTAACTTGTGGATGGAAGTCAAGTGTTTGGGAATGGAGATGAATTGTATAAATACCAAAATACTGTACGTTATTACCGGTGAAATGTCACCGTGAAGCATTTCACACTGTACACATTACAAAAATTTATGTTTATTTTTTGTATTTTTTCCCCTTCTTCTCTAATGTATTTTCCACCTTTTTCATATTCATATATATATTACAGAGCATGCCAGTATCTATATTTATGTATTGTTCAATAAGTGTATTATTTGTGTAAAAGGAGACAGATTTGTCAAAGCAAATTTGCTTGTTTCTGAATCCTTAAAATTTATTTCATTTGTACAAGTGTGGACACAGATCAGTGTGGATAGTATGATTGGATGTTTGACAGTGTTTTATACCAGGTTTTTTACTAGACAGACATGCTGACTAGTTTCATTTTTCGCACAAGGTAAGCCTAATAGGAAGACCAGTTAATCTACCCGAAGTTATGGAACGCCACAGCTGTCTTATGTGGTACTCTGATATTACTTTATGTTGTTTTATTATTACTTGATGATATTTTGTCTTTACTTAATATGGTTTTGACATTACGTAATGATGTTTTGATATAACTCAATATGGAATAGTCATTACTTAATGATATTTCGATATTACACGATATGGTTTCGTATTGACTTGATATAGTTTTGTCATTACTCAATATGGTTTTGTCATTACTCGATGTGGTTTCACCATTATTTAATGTGGTTGTGTCATTAGTCAATGTGGTTTTAACATGACTTGATGTGAATGTGACTTAACGTTATGTAGTTGTTTCATTACATGATGTGGTTTTGTTATTTTGTAATGATGATTTGCCTATTCTTTATATGATTTTAACATTACGTAATGATGTTTCAGAATTTGACGATTTTACACTACATGATGTGTTTGTTTCATTATTTGATGTGGTCCTGTCATTCTTTGATGTGGTTATCCCATTACTTGATGAGGTAAAATCACGTGGCCAATTCGGAAAAAATATGTTCTATTTTTAAACAGATTTCAATATATCGTTTGTTTAATGTGCTTTGGATGGGTATCGCTATCCATTGAGTTAAAGTTCAAATTAAAGTTCGAGTGGTTGTTCAGAGTTATTTGGTATGAAAAAGGGGAACGGCAGACAATAATAAGAAAAAAAGTATTAAAAAGTTTACAGTATTTTGGACATAATTGGGATATCCCCAAACCACTTGGTCCTGTTGTTTTTATCCTAAGTTCTCAAACGGAAGCAGTATTTTTGTAATAAATTTGTAAAATATTCCACGAAACCCTGTGACTCGCCTGATATTGCTGCTGTAAGTGTAAAAGCGTCATGTTGATCGGCTGTACATTTATCTATAATACATTAATCGGTAAAAAAAAAAAATTTTTTAAATGTTTTTCTGTAGATGCTTTTTCTTGAAATTGAGGAATAACTCCTATACAAGTTTTAAAACACTTCATGGAGGTTTACAAATGTATCATGTCAAAACAGTTTAATTCGGTTTTATTTAACTAAAACAAAACTGTATGGTTTTCAACAATGAGCAAAACCCATACCCTATAGTAAGCTATAAAAGGTCCCGAAATGAAAAAAGTCAAAAACTTGAAACCTAACGATCTATAGATAGATAGATAGATACTTTATTCTCTAAAAACTAAATTCAAGTTTACAGAGAAACATACAATATAAATACAGATACAATAGTTGAGGTAAACAAATACAGTATGATATTCTAAAAGTACAAAATTATGATGGCATACATGTTTAGTAACATGTATAATGAAAGGTTAAACTCAATAGAAATAAAAAAAAAAATGGAGATGGAGACGTCGACGCCACTATCGACGACGAAATATAGGTTTGTTGTTTCTCACTGCCGCTACATTGATGTCGCAGGCTCGACACAAATCAAAAGACTTGAACTTTATTGTTAACAAATGAAACACTTCAAATCAACTCACACTAAAGTTACAGGGAAACGGGGGGAGGGGGGCTCGGACTAAGCGACAAAGCATCAATACTATAAAATAAGAATTCTCCGATTTTATTTTTAGCGTAAATGATCATTTGAACTTATACGAATATCAATCTTTTATTTGTAATCAATTGAAATCCCTGATCTACCTCGCACTAATTGAAAAATAAACTTTTTGGAATATCTGTTTCACATGTGACGACGGACAAGTTCCAGTGGTCGTAACCATAATACCGTCATCTTTTCCTTGAATGTAAACTACCAAATAAAACCAAATCACTGGGTTTATGCTTTCTCGAATAACACGACGGGTGCCTTTTTGGAGCATCCGAGATCACTCCAATGAATTTATATTATCCAGTCATACCGATCTATTTAATCAGCCAAATGAAACTGTTTTGTATGCCACCGCAACTAAAAGTTGGGGGGCATATTGTTTTACCCCTGTCAGTCCGTCCGTCCGTCTGCCCGTCCGTCCGTCTGTCCGTCCCATTATGGGTATATAGTTATTCCGCATAACTCCTCCTACAGTTTGAATCCTAGGAAGTTTTCTCTTTACTGTCTGTTTGTACATATATTGAAGGTGTGCATGTGGTCAGGGTTTTTATTTTTATTATCTTTTGCTCTTTTGGGAGATAATTGAACTTTTTTTTTGTCATTTTGGGGGTATAGGCGGTTAAATGAGTTGAGTGCGGGGGCATCACTTTATCTGGTTGACATTTTTTTCTCGTGTTGTGCTGTTACACAACTGTAACAGTCCGATGTAAGGTTAGGATTTAGCGCTCACATACATGTTAAACTCCGCCACGTGCACTTTCTTTATGTACCTGCCCCATGTCAGGAGCATGAAGTTCAATTGTTGTCGTTGTTTAAATGTGTGTCATTTTTTTTTTGTAGATTGTTTATTTATAAATAAGACCGTTTGTTTTTTCGCTTGAATTTTTTCACATGGTGCATGGTGGCCTTTTGTAGCTGACTATACGGTTTGTTGAAGGCTGTACGGTTGCCTATATATGATTTCTTACATCCACTGCATATAAACTCTGGTGGATAGTTGTCTCATTGTCAATCACACCACATCTAACTTTATTTCAACTTCTATGTTGCGTTTTGTATACTGTAACATTGTTTATCTTTTGTACGCATGCCCCGGAGCCCTCTTTTTGGAAGCCCGAGCAAAAGTCCTTGTTCCGCGATAGAAAATTTAATTACGAACTCATATAAGATAGCTCGAATTTCAACTCAGAATCTTAATTAATCTAAATGAGACTTAAATTCGAATCTTACTCAAACTCTACCCAAAAATTAAGTGACTCAAATTTAATGTTGTAACTAGAACTCTACCTTTAAATGTGACTCATACTCGAAGTCCAACTCGAAACTCAACGCTAATTTAAACTTTAATTCTAATAATGACTTGAATTCGAAATCGAAGATTAACTCAAAGTTTAACTCAAACAGTAACCCGAACTTTAATTTGAACTCTAGTTCGATGGATGGCCACACTCATCCAAGGCACATACAACATGGAAATCTATCTAAAAATAGATCAGGTTTTTCCGAATTGGTCACGTGATTTTACCTCATCAAGTAATGGGATAACCACATCAAAGAATGACAGGACCACATCAAATAATGAAACAAACACATCATGTAGTGTAAAATCGTCAAATTTTGAAACATCATTACGTAATGTTAAAACCATATAAAGAATAGGCAAATCATCATTACAAAATATCAAAACCACATCACGTAATGAAACAACTACATAACGTTAAGTCACATTCACATCAAGTAATGTTAAAACAACATTGACTAATGACACAACCACATTAAATAATGGTGAAACCACATCGAGTAATGACAAAACCATATTGAGTAATGACAAAACTATATCAAGTCAATACGAAACCATATCGTGTAATATTGAAATATCATTAAGTAATGACTATTCCATATTGAGTTATATCAAAACATCGTTACGTAATGTCAAAACCATATTAAGTAAAGACAAAATATCATCAAGTAATAATAAAACAACATAAAGTAATATCAGAGTACCACATAAGACAGCTGTGGCGTTCCATACGAAGTCATTATTCTGGCTCTTGACCGATCAGTCTATTCGTTCACTCGTAAATGTCACGTGTTTAGCGGAAAAGCAAATACCAATTTTCAAGTTCTGATTTGACCAGGCCAGAACACGCTTTTTTTTTAATCTGTGCCTTTAAACATATCTTTTTAAAACTTAAAAACTGATCTTATATCAGAAATACATGCAACGGCGGGAACATGTAGAGCAGTATCTGCTTTCCTTTCTGTTTGTTTTTTTTTGGTAGAGCTTTTGTTACTCAATCTTCAGTTTTTATTTACTTTTTGTAGACTCATAGTTTGACTTTTTATAGCCTTCTTTTAATTTTTTTTGTCATGACGTTACCAGTTTAACTTTGGTATTTTCTGCCACCCTGTAAATTTTTTATTTAGTTATTGAAATTGGAAAGACAAGACAAAACAAAAGCGTTGACAATATGATAATATTTAAGAGAAAATATGACATGATAAATCTATCCTTCAATACACTCATGATTATTCATACAATCTTTGTGTAAGCCTTTGTTACAGTTTCTGCACACCGTTTTTGTTCGATGACGACCGCCAAATCCTTCTCTATCAGAACACACGCAGCAATCCTTAAACTTGGCAATTTTCCGCAAGCGCGTTCTCTTTGGTCTGCCAGGATTAACTTGTGCATTCATTTCACGAGATAGCAGATAATCGCATGAAAGATCTTCTATAATTGATTGTACAAACTGTAGTCTACTTTTGACTGGTATATCGGAAGTGTTTTTACAATACAATATATATATGCATTTATTACAATTCGCTGCAAGAAGTTAAATGCAACTTTCTTCCATACCTTAAATGTTTTCCTATTGTCATTATAATGCGTTACCATCATGTCTGCCAGATCGACCCGGCCCATGTTTTTATTATAAAATTCAAGTACTTGTGGTTTATTGTCATTATTTTGGGTGGCCTTTTCGTGCGATGATAAGATACGGACGGATTTCCTTCGAGCCCTTTCGCGATATACACATATTAGAATAGGTCCCTGGCGAGCATATTTGAATTCGCGTTCTCCTAGAATGGCATGTTTGATCATGTTTGGCATGTACCTGTTTTGGCGAATAGTTCCGGTAAAATAAGTATCGAGTTGTCAAAGCTGTTTAGCAAGCGCGATAGAAGTAAAGAAGCTGTCGCACACGACATGATACATTTTACGAAGTAACCCAGCTCTTTCTAACAAGGTATTTACAACGTAGGAACCCTGGGTTAGACCTGGTGGTGTTGGATCATATGTCTTTCCTCTATATATTATGGCGTGGATGATATATCCTGATACTGCTTCAACCAGCATCCAAACTTTTACCCCGAACTTTGAGCTTTTTGACGGAATGTATTGAATCATGCATGTTCGACCACGCGTCGCTATTAAACTTTCATCTATACTTAAATTTTGTTCCGGTTTATAATGAAGTTTCGACTGACGATTGAATAAATCAATAAGGCACTGAAATTTTGCTGTTGGACTGTAGTTTGGATAGTTTCTGCCGTGTATGTTATTGTTGTTAGTTAGATGAAAAAATTTAAAAAGGAGTTGAAATCGGTTACGACTAAACATGTTCTTAAACCATTTTGTCTCTTGGCTTGGCAATTTACTGTTCCAATATTCTGCTATGGTCGCTTTTCTAATCAAACCCATGTTAAGAATGACGGCAAAGAATCCTTTTATTTCAGTCAGTGTTGTTTCTCCAACTTTAGGCCAAGCGTGTAGTCTTGAGAATCGTCTTATCCTTTCCCGACTGGCTATGAAATCTCTAGCATACCTACAAGAATATCGAATATGTCATTCCCTTTAAAAAACGCTTTTCAAAGGTATAGAAAAGAATTTAAGTCTGAGCTTTAATACTTGTAATTTTTTGGGGCTTTTGATATATCTTGCTTTGCGTTAAGAGCTCTTGCTCCGCATTGAAAACCTTACGATTATAAATATAGTTCCTTACATCAACGCCATTTGTTCTCTAGTAAAAAGTTCTATGGCAATTATACCACATCTTCTAATTTTTAAATAAGATATTTTCTTTTATGTAGAGTTACAATTTGATATCGTTGTACAAGAGTTGTATCAAGTTTCAATTTTTGACATTCGTGTATAAGATTGATACATTGTTATAATTAATGCATAAATCAACACTTTCAAGCTGTTTTCTGCTCTTTGGTCGGGTTGCTGTCTCTTTGACATATTCCCCATTCCCATTCTCAATTATAGTCCTATTTGGAAGAGATTTATAATGTGCTCCCTAACAAGAATAGAGATACCGTAAATTGGTATTGTCATTTGTTTACTCCATTTGTAAAATTTGTTTAAAACTTTTTTAAAACTTATTTAATATATTTATAACTATCGTTACGACTAGCTTTTGAAATATTCAAAGTACCTATTTGTTTCCTGAACAATCTGCTGTAAAAAGTTAAATGTCATCAGTAGGTAGAAATAGGCTATAGGTTTCGAATTTCGGTTTGGCATATTCTGTGGTCCAACAGTTTCCTGAAAGTCTGGCTGGCGACGCTCTTCTTCGGGTGGAAATATGCGAAACCAGGGTTGAAGCACCTGCTCATCATTTCTATCATTTTCTTCTTCTCCTTCGTCACTATCAAATTCAGTTTCTAGGTCACTTTGATCAGATTCGGTAAAAGATTCATCTGAATCGTCCATGTTTTCGCTTTGATCTTAAGATTTTTTTTTATGATGAAGTCATTGATTTTAATGACGTTGACGTTCCAACACCAAAATTCCCCCAAAATTTAGACTAAATTGGTTAGTTTTGATTAAAAAACAATATTGCACTTACAGTTAGTGCTATTAGTATGTATCGTACAAGTAAAGGAGTAGCAATTTTCTTTTATTACAAGATTTACTGACGATCACGCAGAAGCGCTATAATTTACCATTAAAAAGTTATCGTAAAATAACGGAATCCTAAATTTTCGCGTTAGAAATGGTCAGTTTTTGGAATCAACGTGCAGTCAAAAAGACATCCTTCAGCTGAAAATATCACGTTGAAGATGCCAATTTCAAAGTAGATAAATATATATACTATAACTTGCTGTTAATTATTCATCCAATTTCTATATCAACTATCATTTAGGTGTATATCATCGGATTATAATAATTTATTCTTACATGCTCTATCAGTTGTTTATAACGCCTTTTCAATTGTGATTAGAAAAATCACTAATAGCACTTCGGCAATGTACGGAAAAGCTGTCGGTTAATTCATATGTTTTATACGGGAAGACAGTATAATTATTGTGTAAATGTTTATATATATATCTTAGGAATATGGACAAAATAAAAGAGTATCTTTAAAAAAGAAGTCTATGTATGATCAGGTATGCGTCTTTTATTAGAAAAATGAGCTATTTTAGTTAAAAAAAACATGTTCATAAATTTTATTCAATTTGGAGTTTCATACGACTTTTAAAATTTTTTTTTAAGAAGAAATAATTTATTTATGCATATACAATAAAAATTATGCTTATTTATAAAAAAAAAAAAAAAAAAAAGATTTCAATGTTCCCGTTAATTTTCATTTTACCCGCGTTTTTTAGCTAACACTTTCTTGCAGTATGCCTGCATTATGACCTTTGGGTACTTTAGGGGACGACCATTTGATATTCTGGGGGGGGGGGGGGGGAGGGCAGGAGGATTTGTTTTGGATCGGTTATTTATTTTTGTAAACTAAGAGGACAGATTATCTATTTTCTGCACTATTGAAGCAAGATTTTTCATTTTCATTAAAGCAAGGGACTGATTATTTATTTTCACAACTATATTTATATATTCGAAAACATACAATTTTTAAATTATTTGTTTATTATAAATAATTCATGTATAGTCAAGTCATTATGTACCATTTAATCAGAATTAATTATTATCCTCTGCAGAAATGAATCTCCTATATTCCCCAATGCATATACATGTATTGCATACATACACAGTATTAAAGTTTGTTTGTAACTGAGGCTCTTTTAAAAGTATTGGCAAACATGTTTTGCCGAGCGGAGCGAGGCAAAATTTTTTTTGAAGGGTTTTTGAACCGCTGAAGGCCCAAGAAGCTGTAGAACAAATGATGCAAAATCATGCCTTCTGGGTGTTCCCCAGACCCTTTCTTAAACTGAAAATGCAAGTTCTGTTTTAATAATTTTATGACAATATTTTGGTCTCAAAGCAAAATCACGTTATAGATTCAGTGTAAGACTTAAGTTTCTAGGAACAACATCAAAAGACAAATATGCATGATAAAGCAAAAATGTAATTCACATAGTTGTGTTTTTTTAAACTCATGATCAAGTTAATAATAAAATTACTAAATTACAAAGAATGCAACACTAACAGAATACAGAAGGGCAATCAATGAACAAAAGACAAATAAATAAGAAACATTGATCCCAAAAAGTCAGGGGCTACGTCTGAGGGAGAAACAGAACTTGCTTCTTGCAAGGCACTCACGGTGAACACAATTTGATATGGAGACAAGCGTTTTGGTTTTGAAATTTCCTACATGAGGCATTTGTCTCAATGTAGTTACGGCCCTGATTTAATAAAAGTCAGGTAAGTGTTCCTGAGACAATTAACCTCAGGTTAAATGAAACCAATTTTCTGACATTTCAATAGATATAAGAAGATTGTGGTATGAATGCCAATGAGACAACTCTCCATCCAAGTCAAAATTTATAAAAGTAAACCATTATAGGTCACAGCAAGTATATTTAAATAATATTTATACTTTTATTATTAATATAAAAGATATGGGAAGTGTTTCCCGATTTTTTTTTTTGGAAAAAAGATGAATTTATGAAGAATCTGGTGCCATCTCATACTTTCGATTAGACCTGCTGAGTTATTTATTTTCAATACATTGCAAGTCAGGTAATTTATTTTCAAACTACCACAGAACAAACCATTTATCTTTGTGATTATCAAGGCTGAGTTATTTATTTTCAAAATCCTCCTGCCCCCCCCCCCCCCCCCCCCCCCCAGAATATCTAATGGTCGTCCCCTTAGCGTCATAATGCACAGCCAGTCTGGATGAAAAAACAAGCCTTGGCACTGAACGTATATTTCTACGATTTCGCCATGGCACTGAAAGGGTTAATAGCTCCATAGTTTTTACACATTTATTCTATGTTCCTCTACTTTCCTAATCACCACAAATGGTTAAGCTCAGTCATTTGTAAAAAACAGAAACATGTCCAATATCACTACACAGAGATTTTTTGTTTACACACAACTTTTGAGTTCCTCATTTCGAGGCGCATTAGGGATATTGACCCATATTGAAATCCATAGTTCTGATTTTTCCAAATATTTTTGTGGGATCTTCATCGGTATGACTTTCTGAATAAATCTGTGTATTTTTGTCAATTTCTGAAAAAAAAAATAAAGTTTTTTCAGCACTATAAGGCAATGACACTTTTATCGCTATATTTATTTATTTTGAATACAATGTGTATGTATAATTAATTTCTTCCAGTATACCTTCACTAGTCAAAACATGGACAAAACATCTGATGATAACCTTAAATTACAATACACAGACCCTGTTAAAGCATTCAATAAAATTTTCTGGTGCCTAAAAGTGCATTTTGACTGAGAAATTATGCAAAAATGTAGATCTCATAAAAAAAACACCAAAATACTTACATTTGTAATTATTTTTACCAGTGGAAATCTGGTACTTATACTGTAGAAACCACTCTAAACTTCTGTGAATGTCATTTTTATCATATAATTAGAAAAATTTTCAAAACTTGCCTTTTCACATAATTCTATTTGAAAAAAAAGTCTTACATGTACATTTTTGTATTTCAGTGAAAACCCTTTGTCAGTGAGAAATGCACATGAGGTTTTAAAGGAAACATTGTGACATCACAGGTATTATGGCGTCATTAAATAACGACAGATCAAAATAATGCTAACTATAGTTTGCAGTGTTACATGAGGAACAGTTGCCGCAAGGTTTAACTCGAAAAATGGAGTCGAAAAGATCAGTAACTAAGCATTTTTATATAATATCAAGACCATAGCAACAGTTTTCATATCAGCATATTTTTAACATACCGACTATAATTTCAATTGCATAAATACCATAAATAAACAATTTAGAGCTAATGCCTAATAAAACAAAATGCTTACCAGTTATTCAGAATTTTTTAAAACCTCTAGTTTGCCGTCTCAGGTTAAATAGTAATGATATGTCTGGAACTGAAATAAGACAAAAAATTTACTCTGGGGCTGTGTTGTCATTTGATTTAAATACACAAGTATTATTGAGAGAGAAAAAAATCAAATTTTTGAAAGTTTTATCACAAAGAAAGAGAAAGGCTTCTCCCTTGTGGCTTATCAACCTTCATTTAAACCTTTTATATTAGGAGCAATGAGTAGTAGCTTAATAGTTGAATAGGTGCAGCACTATTGTTTTCAAAAGGTTTGACCCTCCCCCTTTTTCACTGAGAAAAGATAATATCTTGTGATTTGCTAGTGTGCATTAAAATATAATAGTTCATGATTTTCTTAATACATGTTTGTCTGTTTATTTGCACATAATTTCTAATGACCAGGGGTCAAATTATTGGTTAAAAGCACATGTGATGATGGAATTATAGTTATCTCGTACCATTGTGAACTCGTACCCATGTCAACTCGTACCACTAAAAAAAAAACTCGTACCAATGCAAACTCGTACCACTGCTAACTCTTACCAAGGTAAATTCATACCATTGTAAACTCGTACCAACTTATTTAAATGCATTCAAATGGTGTTTAATGATGAGTATATACTTTAATTTCACTCAATACCTCTTAAGTCTGTAAAATGTATATAATTTGAAATTACAATGACCAATTTGTAGCTAATTTTCCTTGTCTAATTGGATAGAGAAAACCGTGGCAGATTGGCTTTGTTGTCTCCCTTGAATAGACTCTTTTTTAAACTTTTACTGACAACTATTTGATTTAATTATTAATCATTCCAAATCAGTAACATTGAATAGATTTGGGTATTTTTCTATTGTTTCTAAAAGGAATTTTATTTAATGAAAGAATTTATTTATTGTGTTTTTAAAGGTTTAAAATTGTTTATGACCAACAGTTAGAAAGTATGAAATTTATTTTTATACAATATTCAGCACCTTCAAGCAGAATATGACCATGCTAATATGATTTAACAAGTTAATCAACCAATAATCACACAATCAAAGGAATTTTTAATATATTTATTAGCATGGTAATTGTATTTTTGTCTAAGTTTTCATTAAAATCTGGTAAAAATTCAAAGATATTTTAATTTTTTGTATAAAGCTTAAAAGAAAAAACAATCATAAAACATTCGTATTTTTGTCTAAGTTTTCATTAAAATCTAGTATAAAATTCAAGTAATTCAACTCTTTTTATTTAGTTTACCAAAAAAAAAATCATAAAACATTCGTATTTTTGAATATATTTTTAATGGTACGTGTTTGCAGTGGTACGAGTTCTGATTGGTACGACTTCCCAGTGGTACGAGTTTACGTTGGTACGAGTTAACTTTTTTGGTACGAGTTTACGTGGTACGGGTTTACAATGGTACGAGTTAACTTGCTTCCTGATGATGTATCTGGTTACAAGAGCGCAATTATTCGTAATGCATTTTCCATAGGGTACCACTGGTGTTCCGTATTTTTTTTCTCGAAGACTACACAAACTAGGGAAAAACGGATTGCAGTTCCTGTTACTAGAAATGCCAGTGTTGCATTACAGCTAAAAAAATATATAGGGTCATGCGGCAGAAATTGACTTAAAATGCAGTTGAAAAAGATCGTCTATTTTTTTTCGCTTAACCCTTTCCTCCATAATGACGCCTTTTGACGCCACCCCCTTTACTCCATAATGACGCCTTTTGACGCCTCTGTATAGTACCTCAGTTGAAACACTTTGACTACGAAATGTCTGTATCAGACTTAATAAAATTTGTATCCAATATAAAACGGATATTCATAAGAATATCTGACTTGAATTGCATTGATGAAATATTTGTTTTCGCAATGCATTAATACTTTAAACGTGCCGATTTTTTTATAAATAGCCGTCGCCATTTTTTCGAGGTTCTTGTTGACAACCAAGTTTCAGAACACTGACATTGTCACGTTAACTACATTTATTGTTGGTTATTAATACCAACTGGTTATAAAATACCTAATAATCAATGTTTATGATACAGTTTGCGTAAAAAATTATTTTCCGTAAGAAAAACTTTATTTTGAAACTCCGAGTGTTCACTGCCGCTTTTCTCGCTTTGGATTCGTACATTATTGCAACAAAAGCATTTTATTTTTAAACTTACGTTGAAATATCAGAAATTTATTGATCAACGCGGAGATATGCAGTCGAGTCCATACAATTCTTTTCTGACCCATTGAGTGAACAAATATAGCAACTTGTAAAATATAAACATGTGTTTGGGGAATCCCATTATACGACTTCCGGCGAGTCATTAAGTGGGCGGGAACATACAAATTATAATGACCACAGAAAAATCATTCAACGTACAATCTTTCAATGTTTTTGCTTATAGAAAGTGACATTTAAGTTTCAATCATAATTATTTTAAGTTCTTCAATTAAATTAACGAGAATA